ATTACATGTACCACATGTAAACATGGATGTATTTGACATGAAGACACCTATTGTATTAATTTTGCAAAAATACCATCCACACAAATGGTAGTTAAAATATAGACAGTTGGATTGGAAATACATACCCAATAACAGTGTTGTTTTTATTTTGACCAGTGCAGTTGTCCATATGGAGTTGTAAATTCATTTCTCCATAACCTTTATGTTGAAAATGGTGGTGAATCATACTGGCAACAGAGTTTGCCCCCTTTCCAGAATGCTGAGACTCATCAATCAAGTAAAATATCTGTGATCCTGGATAAAAGTTCACAAAAAAATGTTTGCACTGAAAAAGTTAATTATTCTTTTACTTCAATTTTTTTTATGAAAGGGTGCATTTCTAAAAATGTAATTCTAAATTTACAGGTTGCATGTATTAGCCAATTAAATGCACTGCCTAGTCTGTTTTATAAATTAAATTTGTTAGACTAGTAGTAGTAAACTTGTACATGAATCTATAAATTTTATTTTCTATCATTGAACTAAAAGAGTAATGCTAAAAAATCAATTAGACTATTGTAGTCTTGTGTTTGACGTTCTAAAAATTACCTGAACCCTCTGAACCGATTCCAAAACACTGGCATTTCCGTGGGGTTTTGAAGAACAAAGGACCAACCTGTTGCGCATAATGTGGATAATGTATTTGCTGGGCATAATCAAAACTGTAATGTTGAGTTCCCTCCAAAGAGCAGATGGGCTGACCTAGGGAAAATATCAGTAGCCAATTGATTAAGAAAAATCACTAATTTAACAGAACTAATGCATAAATGATTAACTAATTTCAAACAATATTACTTGAATCATATAATAAATTGTTACCTCTGGTTTTTCTCTCATTTGGAAGAGCAGAAAAGCTAGTTTTAGAAACTTCACATTGCCTTCTGTAATAATCCCTCTGCATCTTTGATTTTTCAACATGAGCTGTGTATTTCTCAAGATGTTGCTCCTTTTCCTCTTCTGTCATCATGCCACCATGAACCAGGATATTCGCATAGGATTGGCATTTATAACATAGGTCTGTTGAAGGCTTGCTAATTAGAACATGTGGACATATATTCAGCCAAACTCTTTTAAATTCTGACAAACATATCTTTCTCAAATGTAGACTCTCTGCAGCTAACAAATAGTCCTGATGTATATCAGCCTTGGTCTTATCAGAGGGCAACACTATAGCTCTACAATCTCTGTAGTTTGGCAGTCTTCCTGGTAACGGTAAACCAAACTTGTTTCCATAAGATGTTAGAAAATCTTTTACAGATTGAACATCATTTACAGTGAGGGCATGCTTTGGATGTTTACCAATGTTTCCATGAATTCTAGGAGCGAGTCCATCCTTATCAAGGGAACGAGCAAGCGCGTCCACCGTCTTCCTATAAACTCCATGGCAAAACGCAAATGTTTCTCTACACACTTGATGTCCATTAAAAAAATATTCTTGTCTAATTCTCTCCCTTTCTTTTGATCTATGTTTCTTTGCACTAGTAACTTTGTCATTTCGCCGATGGTGAAATAATTGCACTTTGATCATCATATCTAGTTCCTCCTTGTTCATTTCCAGGCACGTGTTTCTGTATTCAAGCAAAGATTCTAAATCGACGACCTCACTACATGGTTTTCCGTAGAGTCGAGAACAACCGCATGTTTTAGAATTAAACTTTTGAAATTGGTCAATTTCATTCTTATCTACCTCACTCTGCTCTATTGGTACTAAATTTTCTCGATCTCCTATTTCTCCATCGCTTTCATTTTCGTCAGAGCTCTCTGCGTTATCAGAGTGATATTCTGGGTCGACATCCGATGTGTTTGACAAGTTTCCAAAATATAGGTCATTCACTCGATTTATTTCGTTTACAAATTCTTCATCTTCGTTTTCTACTATTTCCGGGGGGATTGTACTTGCATTAGAAACTGCACTTGACTGGCTTAGTTGGCTGCAGCTTTCCATTCCGGCGATTCTATTCAGTTTAAATCTCCCTCATTTCTCGAGACGCCATGATTGTTTACACCAACAACTCGGAAACTAAAGAAGAGTTAGTCTTACGGGGAATAACTCTAAATAATCTCGATTTTTTCCCTCGAAAACTTTCAATAATATTTAAATCAAAATAAGATCGATTTTCTTATTATTTTTATTTATATAAAAAAGTCTTTAAACATTACACAATTTAAATTCATCCTGCAATTATTTTAACAAGTGCGCGAAATTCACGCTTTTTTGTAAACGTTGATTGTGACGTTTTTTTCATTATTACGTTTTGCCGCATTTGGGCCAAAAATCTCATGGCGAGTCACATATCGATATTATTGAACGAGTACATTTTAATTATTTAAAACATATGTTGAATTTGAAAAGTAGCACTCCAAGTTATATGATTAATGAAGAAACTGGACGGTTTCCATTACACATAAATATTTACTCAAGAATGATAAAATATTAGGCAAAACTTTTGAATGAAAAAGAAAACAAATTGTCTAGAATAGTATATATGTATTTACATAAACAACATGATAAAGAGGAAATGAAAAACTCATGGATATCATTTGTACAAAAGATTTTTAATAGATGTGGTTTATAAAATTATCCAATTGTAGTGTATGTGACCCCCCCCCCCCTTTTAATTTTTATGTCATGTAGTTAGGGTATATGACATTCATTATTTAATCCGCAATATAGTGTTTATTCATGCTGAGTCAATGACTGTAATATTTTACTGTAATTGTGTGAGCTTGGAGCGGGTTGATTATTTAATCCACAATATAGTGTTTATTCATGCTGAGTCAATGACTGTAATACTTTACTGTAATTGTGTGAGCTTGGAGCGGGTTGATTTTTCTATCAAATAGAGTCAATGTCTGTAATATGCTATCATGCTTTATAGTGATTTGGAGCGGGTTGATGAAGTTTGTTTATTCAAGAAGTTTTATTTTGTTTTACTATGAATGTGCTGTTCGCAAAGTTGTACCTAAGTTATGTAATTGTATTTATAAATACTTGAAATCAAGAGTAAATTGTAGTATCATAGTATGTTGGCAATGTAAACATGACAGAGATAATTCGAACTGAATTAGAGTTTGACAGGAGATTTGTAAAGTGGGTCATTTGTAGATTATAACTTACGTATATATAGCAACTTATTACTGTGCGTAAAAGTATGTGATTGTTGTTTATTTAGTGTTACTTAATTAATTTGATACCTGTAAACAGTCTAAACTTCGTTTGGCACATGTTTGACAGTTTTGGAACTCTTCTGTACGATGTACTTCCGGTTTAAGAAAAACGTGTTAATCTATTCGATAAATTGTTCTCCTATTGATTGTATAGTCGATAAATTTATTGAGTATAAATGGTTACGAATGAATGTATTTTGAGATGAATTATGTCACGTGGTCAAGCTGGCTTTCTCCAAGAATCACAAAAGTTCAATAAATTTGATAAATTTATTTACAAAACGAATAATAATAATAACAAAAACCTCACACCATCTACCACACTCTGATCCACACCCCGTACTCACTATTAAACAGTTAATAAAAAAAAAACAATTATCTTGGTAACCAATTAACAATCAACCAATCTACCCCGGGTATATATCTCAGTTATCAATCAATGTTTCAATTATTGAATTAATGCCAAACGTTTTCCAACGTAGTGATCGTCTCCGTATCATCGATCATCATCCACATCGTCATCATAACCATCATCATGATCATCATATACATAAAACCATGCATGTCAGGTTTGCCACTAGCAGGTTGGGCACACACCCCCATTTGGTTGATCCACTCCCGTTTGGTGGTCAATCAACCAAATCGTATACATTGTTAACTGACCAAATGGGAGTTACTTTTCGTGTTTTTCGATTTACACCTGCTTTTTAACTCGGCGCACTAAGATGACAGGAGTGGTAAGTAATTTAGGTTCCCTCGTGTCTTTAAACATAAAAATATGGAACATTGCATGTGGAAATTTGTGCGCCTGGGTGTGCAAATTTCAGGTATGCTAAGTAAAATCCTGATTATGGCCATTATTTTTGCATAATATTACCTTACAATTAATCCAAATGCTTCAAAATTCACATGAGGAGCCCCTTCTCCAAACATTCTACTTTCGATTCCAATTATCCGGGTTACTTCAAAACAATTGTAGCCAATGAAATCTCTTGATCTATATAAACTTCGGTCGAAAGCTCAAACTTTAATACGGAGCGTCGTTTGTGTAAATTTTCAATAAATGCATTCTCTATTCATTTTTTTCATATTGTGTAGAAAAAAACTACAAGAGGTGGCAAAGTAACCATTTTAAGACAAATTAAAAAGAAGAAGGACCCCACCAAAGTCTTAACAGACCAGAAAAAGATGATACGCTCCTTCAACAAACGAAAGGATACACTTCTTGAAAAGGTGTGTATTCATTCAAAAGCATGTTCAAGACATCTTATATTACATAATTACACGATCAGAAACACTTGTTTTAATTCCAGCTTTGTTACTAACCGCCTAATTAAAAAAACGCACCGAAATTTTGATTAATAACTCTTTAATAATCATGGTAATGGAATCATAAAAATCATTGAAAATGTAAAAAAAAAACAAACAAACAAACAAACAAAAAACAAAAAAAAGCATATATTTATGAACATGCATTCAAAGTTTTTAAAGAGTTATATCAAATTTTTAAAAAAAATATCATTAAAGTAACAAATATGTACATTCTTAAAGATGTCATAGTTTTAAAAGATTTTTAACATGGCACAGGTTCAAGATATATATACAGCAACTTCAGCACAGGTTTCACTCACAGTGAGGGCACCTGCTTCAGGAATTGTGTATGAATATTCCAGTCCAAATTTCAAAAAGGTACAAATGTGAAAAACCCTGTCATCTATCCGTTTAATTTAAGTAAATCTTAAATTTATATACATGTACAATAAAAAATACAAATTAATAATAATATAACATAATTATGTACACAAGGTCCCGACTATTGAAACTTCAATGTCCTGTGCGTCACCCTCTGCTTCTTCATCTGCCCCTGCATCACCTACTTTGCCATCTTCTCCCTCTACTTCTTCTGCACATCCTACATCGGCTTCATCGCCCACTTTCAAAGAGGTCAGCACCCAAACGACAGAATCAACCCTCGGAGGAGATTCGGCTGACGAGTCTTGCTGTCGGATCTGTGGAGAATCTCTATCGGAGAGCAAGCTGTGGGTGGGTTGTGAAGTAAAGGATTGCTCTTTCTGGAGGCATGCCTGGTGCATGGGGGTTACTGCGTTCCGAAAAAATGCTCTGAAAAATTAAAAAAATTTTTGTCCTAAACATTTAGGTGTAAAGAAATAAATGCTCGGTAGTTAATTTTTTTTTTCAAGCGAGTAATTTGCAAAAATTATGAATATTCATACCTTTATTCTACATCTGACTCGCTCTGGCTTTCAGCTTCCTTAATTTCATTGAGTTCTTTAAGAAATTCAAGTTTTTCACTTTTTTCCATTTCTGGCTAAGTGTATGTGAATTCAATGTGTCTAACTGTGTCTCTATGTGTGTAGATATTTCAGCTTTTGTTTTGTTTGCGATGTTGGTGTGTTTTTCTCTGTGTTCTTGAAAAATAAAGATAGGTGTGTGTTTAAGTCTAGATGAGAGAGGATGTGTTTGTATGTGTGTGTAATGCGAGTCTTTGTTTTCTTGTGCATGTTCTGAGAAATGTAAAAATGCACTGTCTAAAGGCTTATTTGAAAGTGTTGTGAGCGATTGTTTTTGTAAATATTTACTTTCCCTAATGATTTGTCTGAATGCTGTGATTTCTTCTGTAATGTCGTATGCGTATGTATATTCTGTGTCTTTTTCTGTCAGCCCCATAATTGTCTGCATGTTCAGTCTGATCTGAAAAATATGAATAAAATGATACAATATAAAGTATATATAAAACTATTTCTAAATAATTTCATTTCATCTTAGATGCAATGGATTTGGGCATGTTGAATGGGGGGGGGGGGCACTTTTTTCCATACTTAACCTTTTATTACAGAAAAATGTACATTGGAAAAAAAGATTTCGGAGTTAGGACACCCCCCCCCCTTTTAATTTTTTTCTCTCCAGCTGCCCCCTTCTAAAACGATGCTACGTCATTGGGATTTATATGCATGATGTGTATATAAATAATTTTTACCTCGTCTAATTTGTCGATGTTTCTGCTTATGGTTAGCCATTTCTCGTCGGTTGGCAGGCCAGGGGGCATGAAGCCTTTACTTTTTCTGTTAAGGTTCTCAAGAACAAAGTCCCCTCCTTCGCCTTTGCTCTCATGACCAGTTACAGTGTATGCCTCATTTTTTCTGATAAATTCGTTGACTGCAGGAGGACACTGTATCCGAATTAAAGAGTCTCTGACGAAAGCCTCCATATAAAATGGCATATTTAGCCCGAAAAATAAAGTTAAAACTTTGACCTGCTACAGAGAATGACGTCGATGTTGTTACGTCGTACCCCTGCTCTAAACACATGAAGCGCTAGACTGTGGTCAAAAACGATCTTCGCCATCAAAGCTTCATTAGGGGTCTTGTTGCTAGCTAAAAACTCTTCAACGGAAGGCGTTTCTTTTTCCAATGCCTGGCGAACATAGGGCACAAGGAGCTCGCCAGACATAGCAAAAAGGAATATTTCCAGAATTTGCCAGCTTTTATGGTGATCTGCAATATAAAATATAACTATGATTTGCGAAGAACACATAGGCGTCGGAACCGGGGGTGAGGGGGAAGCCTCCCCCACTTTTTTTTGAAAATATATACATAATATAGGCATTGAACATTAGGATTTACCTTATTTTGTTGGTTTAGCCCCCCCCCCCAAACCCCACTTTCAATTTGCTTCCGACGCTTATGGAGCTTTTCATTTATGCATTTTTTTCACACAAAAAATGATACAATTTTAAATTTTTTTTAATTTATAAATTCTATACCGTGGGCAGCCTGGCATGCTGCAAGGGCCTTCGGACTCTTGAAGCCCAGCATTTTTGCGAGCTCCATTAATAAGCACACATCCCAAAGGAGTTTGAAAAGCGCCTTGGTCATATTGATTTCAAAGTGGCCATGTCCTAAGAAAAAATTAGAATTTGCACAAATTTTGATTTTATTAAAAATCGTTGATATATTATTGCACATTATAATTGAAATTAGAGTAACACCTGCTAGCATTAAAATATTCCTATATTTCCTTCCTTCCTCTAAATCATTCGCATGTTTTGAAGTCTCAATATGGTTAATGAACTCGTCTTCGTCATATTGGATACGACACGTTGGGCAAATATACAACTCCTCGATGATCCTCGAGGCGAGAACGTAGGGGAGGCCGTCACATCCTACTGCCGTCCAATGTCGTGTCGTACCAACCTCTGCCTCCTCCAGGAGATGGTCAAGCACCTGTTCCCAGATAGAACATTTTATGCATCATATAAATTTTTTTAATGTATTTATTATTTTTTTGTATTTATATAAATCAAGGAATACTATACAACCTTCTCTACAGCCTCATACGAACAAGGGTTCTCAAAAATAGGTTCTCCAGCAATAACCTTGCTTGGCCCTGCTTCATGGCAGCTAGGAATGAACGTGTATCTAAAAATAATGAAATTGATCTTTAGATTTATATAACTTGTGTCAATCTTAGTCTGTTTTACATTTTGTAGGTTGGAGGTGAATGGGTGGGGTGGTGGTAAATGGAAAAGGATCTATGAACCGATGTCAGGACCACCCTGGACCTGACCCCCCAGGAATTTGCATGGTTATTAAATTTATACACTACAGGAAGAAAAATTACCATGGACCCCCCTCGGCAAAACGCAGACCCCCTGGCAAACGCAAATTTGTGTTAAATTTATATGAAAGGTCAAATGTTTGAAGCATTATAGAAGCCCCCCCCCCCTACGAAATAGGTTTTTGAATTTGGGCGAGTTAAGTTTTATTTTCTTTTTGCTTGTCAAGAAATTTCTGGGTTGTATTTTTTTTGACTGGAAAAAATTCTGGATTCGCACCTGGAAAGTGAACTGAATAATAATAAAAAAACATTTATTAAAAATGAAATTTGTTTTACAATCGATTGTGTTTCAAATATATATATCCTCGTTAACCTCTCGTTTGGGGGTCTATTTCCCGTGGATGGTCTTTTTTCTTGTCAACATGATCCTTCCATCCATCTTCTTTGGATTGTTGTTTGATTATCTCATTGATTCTCTTAGAAATAAATCCATGTCTGAAATAAAAGTTTGTAATTATAAACGAGTAAATTTTGAAAATATCACTATCTCTCTCTCTCTCTCTCTCTCTCTCTCTCTCTCTCTCTCTCTCTCTCTCTCTCTCTCTCTTCAGTGTTTACCTTTATTTACTGAAATCTTTTTCAAATAATATTTCTTGCGCTTTCAACTTTTCAAGAGAGTCCTTCTTTGCCTGCACATGGAAACTCTGCCACTTTGAAGGCGCAAGCTCTATGTTTCTCTGAATATCACTTCTGGGCTGCATATGAGCCACAGATGTGATAACGGATGACTCCGCCTTGAAATCGTTCTTGACCCGCCATTTTCTACCAATCACCTTTTTAAAGATAAATTTAAAAAGTCACAATAAAAATAATGACACGTGTAAAAAAAATAATTTGAAAAATAAAATTGAAGTAAAAGAAAATTTTAAAAACCTGGTTGTTATCAAAAAAAGATATAACATCCGAATTATCGGGGATCTTTATTTTCTCTTGGCTGTTGGCTTTTAGCCAGTTTAGTATAGATGTATAGCTTCCGCTTGGTGTTGCAGCACTAGCAACATTGACGCCTTCTTTGCTACCTAATAACATAAACAAATCGATATAAGTAAATAAATAAATATAAATTATAAATAGAGATGGAAATAAAAAAATTCTTTTTTTATTTAATAAAATCACAACAAAATGTTTTAAAATTTATGAAGAAAATATTTAATTGCGTGATTGTAAAATTATTAATAATAATAATAAAAAAAAAACACCTGTCTTAGTGTATATAAGAAGGGATTTAGCAAATGCAAGTGGAGCAACAAATTTTGTGTTTACAAGGTAGTAAACGCTGTCCACTGCATTGCTAATAACCACTGCTTTTTCCTTCTGATAGAAATCCCCCTCATGCATCAACCCCTTTAAAAAGGCAAAAAGAGGACCATTCCTCAGACATGTAGCCTATGAAAAGAAAACGAAGAGGTTCCAAAAAATAATTTATTAAATTTATTTTTGAAAAGTGTAATATTATTTATGAATTTAATTTTAAAAAAAAAACTATTAGAAATGCATAAAAATCTTACGAGCTGGATCAAAATGTTTTAACATGTCATCATTTTTATAAATTGAACCGGCAACTAAACTGTCATCAAAAACTTTTAAAGATTCTCTTCTTCCTGTAAAAAAGAAAAAAAAGGTGCGACTTCATGCAATTCATTTGTTAATATGCGTTCGCTGTAATTATTTGAATGAAACAGGTACGATGTACCGCCGACCCAAACGTAATCATTTTTTTTTTACATGATTAAAAAAATTAATAAAAGAACCAATTGCACACATAATCATCTCCAAGTCATCTTCTTCAATGTCACCATTCTCAATTTTTTGCACCATCTCCGCAACAATGGTGTCTTTTTTTCTTTTAGGGACAATTCTTGCCTGTGAGAAGATTGCATGATCGTAGTCTTTTTTTTAAACAAAACAAATCGTTAAAGGAAAAAAGGAAAGGAGAGGGTATATTTTTAATTTCTGAATGTTTATTCATATAATTTGTTTTTTAATTCATATAAATTCATTTTCATGTAACATTTTACTATATATGCATGGATGAAAATCATTTGAAAATATTAATACCCCCCCCCCCCCCCCCCACTTTATCCCTTTTCATTCCTGCGTGACTGATATAATATGGAAAATTTATTTATAATTTACCTCAGCATGCTTTATACATCTTTCACAGATGTAGGTTCCTTTGGGATTAAGTTCCCCCTCTTCCTTTAACTTTTCAATAATCTCACTTCTCACTTTTTTTCCCTGAACTCTGAAAAGGGTCCTTTGTTCAGAGTCCTTGCAAATTGTTGCATGGGTTTTAATGCTACATTTCTTGGGAAATGGCATATCTAAACAAATCATACAACAATAGAGAATATTTGTGAAAATTCTCTGATTAAAATCTATAAATACATTATACTTTAATGGCCAAGATAAAAAAATCTATGTATTTTGTACTCTAATGATGTTCCGTACAAACGTTTAGCTGCTGTAATTAATTATAACGGGACTTTTCATTGGTTCTGGATGATCATGATCAATAAGAAGCTTTGATTTGTAAAGTATGAAAGTTGTAGAAAGAGCCCACAGGAAATTTTTTCAACATTTAAGAGGTATATTTAAATTATATAGCATTAAGTTGTCAAAATAACAGTACTACTTACTTCTACGTACTATTCTCAGCCTCCGCTATCGAAATTGCCGCATGAAATGTTGGGCGAATCGCCTTATATAGTCTAAGGGTGAGTTCGAGATCATCTCCTGATGCTCGTGCAAATGCGCCTTTCTCTTAATTTAATGCAATATTGGCGCGAAGAAAAAAGACCACCATTTGGTCAGTTATGTATGTATACCATTTAGGCTATAGACCACTAAACGGGAGTGGATCAACCAAATGGGGGGGGTGTGCCCAACCTGACTAGTGTTCATCTAACGAACTATCACGTTACGTGGTTTGACTTATCTGTGTCTGTCCACCATCACCGAGTCTTGATCACACACACAGCCTCCTTCCGGGCTTTAGTCCAGGAACCTTTCGCTGTGTCACCACGATCAGACGATCCCCTCAGCTTAGTGCATGTACCCAATATCCAGTACCAATATCTTCGACGCTACAATGATGCATATTAATAAGTCACATGTTTCACTACATATGTTTGGCAATACCACTATGTTTGGCAATTCATTCTTAATATAAAAATAATCAAAAAGTATTAAGTATAATGGTTGCCAGTTAACAAAAGTCAAAACAAATTACTGCCAATATGGCGCACCTTACTTTCAACTTCCGGTCATTCACTTCCGTCCAGACATTTAAACCAAAATTTTAAAAAGACAAAATATTCTACACAAAGTAACAAAACTGAGTACAAGAAAATAGCGAACATTTAACAATGAGAACTTTAAACGTTATCGATATAATACAACAGCCACTCGAACACTCTCGCTAACCGTCACACCTGAGTGAACAACAGGTAAAATGGTGAGAGCTGGCCAAGTTCAGAAATAAGAACGAAGTTGTACTCAATAATAAATTTGCATAAAAAAAACTATATACAAAGCAAATAATATCATAAGTAATACTTATCACGGACCTGTCTCCGTGCCAGTGTCAAAATATTGCATGCACTGCTGCTATGTACATATACTAGCTGCTTCGAATCAGAAACGTGTCTGCAGCTACGCTTCTCTGCCGGGAATGACCAGGCCTCAATTGTTCTGGTCGGCTAAGCTATTTTGCAAGGACTTATGGGTATAATAAGCATAGGGACAAAACGCGGGAAATACAAATTATATTACAAGTGCAATAGTGATTGTTACAAACTAAATATTGTTTTGAGTTTAATATGTTTTGTTTAAATTATTTGTTGTGAAACATATTTTGTTTTAATTGATAATATGTGAGAAATTATTATTTTGCATTTGTATAGAATGTTTGGTAACACTTGTTCACGTGAAAGGTCGTGATGCTTTACTTTTGACCAATCAGATTGCTCGATATAATTGATCATTAGTTATTAATCCAATGAAATTTCATAATTAATAATTCCGTCTTTTTCTAGCATTTTCCGTCTTTTCCCGTCATTTTCTGTCCTTGAGTCATATAAAAGTTAGACGCTGAGAAATTCTAGTCACTCTTCTGCTTATTTTGATTTGGTAGGTCCGTTTTACGGAGCTTGTAGATTTTTGTTAGGATTTTATTTTAACTTTTAATTTTGTCTATCTTTTATTTAAATTAGGAATTTATTTAATTTTTCATTTATTTAGTTAGGATAGGATTTAACCGTGAAGGACATTAAATAGTAAAATACTATTGTCCGTGATCGGTAGTTTAAGAACTCAACAGTCTATGACTGAGTAGTTCTCTTCAGTAATTAATTTATCTAGGGTTATTTTATTTTACAATTTTACTCTACATTTATTTAAATTTTATTTTACGGCAAACTACGTAACAAAAGTTATACGTTTGCTATCTTTCTCTTTTATGATGACTAAAGTTGATTAATTCAACGAATGTCAATTTTTATTTTGTTTAGATTCAGTAATTTTATTTTTCTAGATACGTAAATTTTTCTTTCGAATTTTTCATAGAATTTTTCATTAGAGAATTTCGGAATTTAATTTCACTTTACTTTTAACTTAATAAAGATTACCGGACTTATCGTATTTGGCCCGTAGTATTTACAAGCTGAATCCGTTTAATACAGTAAAGCTTGCGTAGGTTTAACAAGTCAGTGTTATAAATGACCACGACTTGTGTCCCGTTTTAATCAAGTGTTTAGGAGTTTAACAAGCTACCTGTTTAATACAGTAAAGCTTGTGTTAAGTTTTACAAGTCAAAGTTATAATTAACTACGGCTTGTTTTCATTATTATTTCTCATTCTCTCCCTCTCTGTTATGAGGTAGATCTACATACTGTAGAAGTGAAAAACATTACGGAAATTTTAATTTCACTATGTTCACGATTTAAGAATTTTCCGCGAACTTTAAACCATCGTTTTTATTACTTCACTTCATATCTTCCTAAAAACAGGCATAGCACCTGAATATTTATGAATGATTCTCTGCGAAATTGAAACTACCGTGAAAGGTAACTTTCTAACAAACCGTGAAATTTTAGACACTTGAAATTTAAGACTTCTACAGTATAAACTTTATAGCAGAGCATATAGACTGGAGACAAAGTCGATCCTTTTCTTTGAAGTCGATATATCCTTGGATTGACTTTATCAAATGACCACATTTTTAATATTAATTTAAGAAACAATGAAAATAGACAATTAAAATAAAGATTGTTTGAAGACTTTCACTTTTATAAACACATCTTTGGAATTTTATAATTTATCATTTGTTTAAATAAAGGCGTTATCTTGCTTTTGCATTTGATATCATCAATTTTTTGATAACAAAAAAACGTTGAGTGTTCTACTTGACTTTATTCGTTATATAATAAATCATATATCAAAACATTTGCGCCACCAGACACACTTATCAGCTATAAAAATCTAGATGGGGAAGTTGAATAACTGAAGTATATTTAGTTTTTTCTTCCTCTTTACTGATATTTCCTAACATAGGTCTAAATAAATGACTGAATACTGACTTCAATATGTACATGTATGTATCGTAGTTGACACCTTACAATTTTTAACATATGAGCCAATCTATTCATTGTCTGAATATTTAGCAAACTGGAATATGGTTTTCTGAAATAGATATAAACATGAAATACATGTACATATATACTGTATTAATTGCGTGATTCTTAAACTTTTATATTTAATATGTGTAATGCTGCATTTTCCGGAAAATATAGCATATCTGATAGCATGTCTGAAGTAGACCTACCTGAAAGTAAATTTATGATAGGTCCTGGGAATCATTTTTCTTTTATACCCACTCAAACAACTTTTAACGCCTACAAAACGGCGACACCATATAAGTAGCTTTCAAGTTTAATTCTAGACTTATGCAAATACGAGTGGAACATCATAAATTTTGCTGTGAGGCAGATACTTCACTTAAAAAAAAATCATTTTATAGATTTCTATTGAGAGGACACTCATTGATTTGCTTAATATTTACTTATGTTAATATACTAATAAGACGACCTACATGTGTCATCGTTTATAGGATCTTCGTGTTACTTCTCCTGATCAAGACTTTCACATTTACTTTCTAGATGCCAGTTCGTACGGTCCATATTCTTTTCCCCGTAAAGCACTGTTAGATTCATCTACTGGCATAAGGTCAAACCTCCTTTGTGAAGAGTGACGCAGAAGGGAGTTATCACAATCGTTTCTCCACGGGTCTTCATACTGTCCTTGAGTTGAGATTATATGCATTCGTACACTTTCTTTATCCAAATAAATATTATTGTCGTTCGTTCCTTGTACTCCAGCCACATTTCCCTCCCCCTCATACGTATAGCCATAGGGATTCAAATCTTCAGAAGATCCGTTTTGATTACATGGGTGTATAGGATCAGTGTTAATGTACTATAACAAGGGTCCTCACAGGAGCCATTAAGTGGATTTTCAGAGGCCTCTTCTCTGTTTAAAATGTCATTTTCTCTGTTTCCTTCTTGGGTTATATATAACGCATTATGAACACCATCTTTAAAAATAAAGAGAAATGAAATATCATTTGGAAATATCAAGTAACAAGTTTCTTATTATAATTTTCATCTTTTTCTTTCTACAGTGTAATAAATTCAATTAAATCAGTCCGAATGAGACCTCTAGTTAATAAGCATTTTATTTAAAGGAATTTTGGTTCTGAAATTAATATTCATTTTAAAATACAAGTTTTGTTATGTTCTTTCATCTCCATTGAAAACAATAATGATTGTATATCTGTTCATAAAAACAATTTTCAATTCCATATGTAGTACACTTTACGATTCAGTAGGTTTTTAATAACCAACTTGCTTTTATTTCTTTCAACATATTAAACATGTAATTTTTTGTGATTAGTGGACGGTACAATGGACTTTCTATGGTGAGCTTCTAACATTGTATTCTCTTCAGCACTCAACTGATCTAATTTGAATTTATCTATATATTTCTTTTCTTTTTGAAGATGTTGATCACTCCTAAACTTGTCTCAAAGTATGAAAATAATAATTTGAATTTTTTTCATTAAAATCACGTACGTTACTACTCTTATTTGAGAAATGATTACATTCTGATATTTATAATTCTACATAGGAAACAAAATGAAATTGATTTTTTAACTTGAATATTTTGAAGTCTTCCTCTTAGTAATTTTAATCCACATGAGACAAGTTTGCACGATTATGAAGATTTTATAAGTGAAAAAAAAATCAATGACATGGACATGTAAAGTACGTCTGAGAAGTAATAAGCTACACTGTTATTGGTTTACATTTTCTT